CCGGAATTGGACTTAGGATGCGGAATCCTTGGGTATGAGTTCCGTGAAAAACATTACTCCCGATGAAAGAGCTGAAAGATGAGACATTGAAAAACAAGCTAAAACGGCAGGCTTGTGATTGCGTTTTTACGCCACGTTTGCTTTTGTTTGTACTATCAGGTAGGTTTAGGAGTAGTGCAGATGGTACGTTATTTTAAAACGTCATGGAGCATTAGAGTTATAATGCCACTCAACAGACATTTCAATTCAGAACTGCGGTGACATGTACAAAACCAATGTCACATAAAACGTACCATATGAACGTTCATCTGTTTCGGGGGAAAATCTAAACACTCTTTTAGCTCCACTCAGTGGACATTTCACATCGAATATGTCACGAAAGGTACATGGCGCTACGTATTTCACATCTTGCAAAAATGTTCCCACAGGTACGTTTTTGTCATGAGATCAGGCTCATTTTAGGCTAGCTTTAACCATCAATATTTTCATATTTTCTAAAAGATTTCTAAACTTCAAAAGCAATGCTTTTAGAAATATAGATCCCTTCATGTCAGTGCTGCGCCATGCTGCTATGCCATGCTGATTCTTTCCACACCTTTACTAAGAGCCACTGAATAAAAGGTGCTAGAGAGGTTTGCGTGCCCAAAGCCCACGGATTCGTCAAATGTGCATATCTAGAAGGACAGTCTGTTTTTTCTGTTTCTTTTGTATGTTGGCTCTTTGTATATCTGGCCATCTGTTCTAAGAATCTAAGTGTGAGAGTCGTGCTGTGAGGTTTCCTCAACCATCTCCCTTCTGACTCTACCTCTTATATAAGGAGAATCTGATTCAAATTAAAAACAGACAAATGCTATACAGGTTTATGTTAATGATTTGAGTTATGGTTGGTTATAACTAGAATGTAATGGCATTTTATGGTAGTGATGTTTACAGAGTAAAGTATAAGAATAGTTTGAAGAGGACAGAAATAGTATATGTCGCACTGTTCTTATTATTTGACATAAGGTCAGAGTGTAATGAAAGCACAACCATTATTGTTGTGCTGGCAGTAGATTGTAATTACTTAATGTTGTGGTCCTTGTAGGCAGTTTCCTTTGTAATTATGCCAGCTGGAATCAGTAGATGAGACATTTTATCTATAAACACTCAGGAAAAGCTGCAATGTGTGTATAGTTTTTAGTCAGGCGGTGCTTTTGTGATAAAGGATAGAAAGAGAGAACCGATTTAACATGCTGACTAAAAGCTGGAATACACTACACCACTTTTAAAATCTGAACAGATCTAGCACGATCATGCACTTTTTGATTTTGTAAACAGTTACAGCAGAAAAAATGGACATTGCACACTAAATGACTGAGGATCATACACTACTAAGTGGTTCTGTCCTAGTTTGCAGTCTGTGTGTCTGACTTAGTTTCTTTCTTAGTTTTTTTAAAGAAATGTATATTTTATTCAGCAAGGATGGATTAAAAAGTGTCAGAAAAGGCATAAGAAAATTTCTGTTTCAAATAAATGCTGAGCTTTTGAACTTTCTATTTATCAAAGAGTCCTGAAAAAGGTTATCATGGTTTCCACAAAATTGTAAGCAGCACAACTGTTTTCAACATTGATTATAATAAGAAATGTTTGAGCACCAAATCAGCACATGAGAATGATTTCTGAAGGATCATGTGACACTGAAGACTGGAGTAATGACTACTGAAAATGCAGCTTTACCAACACAGGAATTAATTACATTTTAATATATATTCAAATAGAAAACAGTGATTTTAAATTATAATACTATTTCACGCGTCATGCACTTTTTGATTTTGTAAACAGTTACAGCAGAAAAAATGGACATTGCACACTAAATGACTGAGGATCATACACTACTAAGTGGTTCTGTCCTAGTTTGCAGTCTGTGTGTCTGACTTAGTTTCTTTCTTAGTTTTGATAGTTGGAATTTTTTTTTAAAGAAATTTATATTTTATTCAGCAAGGATGGATTAAAAAGTGTCAGAAAAGGCATAAGAACATTTCTGTTTCAAATAAATGCTGAGCTTTTGAACTTTCTATTTATCAAAGAGTCCTGAAAAAGGTTATCATGGTTTCCACAAAATTGTAAGCAGCACAACTGTTTTCAACATTGATTATAATAAGAAATGTTTGAGCACCAAATCAGCACATGAGAATGATTTCTGAAGGATCATGTGACACTGAAGACTGGAGTAATGACTACTGAAAATGCAGCTTTACCAACACAGGAATTAATTACATTTTAATATATATTCAAATAGAAAACAGTGATTTTAAATTATAATACTATTTCACAATATTACATTTGTTACTGGATTTTGATTAAATAAATTCAGCCTTGGTAAGCTGGTCTTCTTCTTTTTTTTTTTTTACCTTTCTCAAACTTTTAATGGTAGTGTATTCCTTACTATTAAGATGCAGAAGTTTTACTCAAAACTTTGAAAGGTATTGAAGATGGACTCTGCCAAGCAATGCCATATGTGTCCTTTCTTTTTGAGGTTGGTTTAAACCAATGATTTGATTAACTAATTGGACAAAAAGGAGAATATTAATGCGATATTGATCACAAATATGTTTTAAAAGGTGTTTGTCAGTTTGCATAAGTTATACAACCTGTTGACTGCCTGAGGGAGTTCATTTGTCATCCAGGTCAGTGAGCACTTAAGGGAAAGTTCATTCTCTGCCTAATCATTGGGAATTATACTTGACACATCACAGCAACTGTAATTTGCTAAAAGGTTTTTGAAGTGAGCCTGTGATATTAAAAACAGGTACTATGTATCTCTACTGTGAATTAGTAATGAGCAGAGCAGTACTGCATTAGAATGCTATGTGACTGGTTGTCACAGAGGAGCTTGTTTTCATATACCGTCTCTATAGCCAATAGCTTTACATAAGTTATAACTCCTACTGCCTACATAGTCAGCTGATTTCTAAGTCATGGAACCTCATAAGTGACTAATTTGGAGTGTTCTGCATTGGCAGCTACACACTAATAGCACTTTGTATAGCAGACTTAAAGGGATAGTTGACACATAATTGAAAATTCTGTCATCGTACTTCACCAGCATGCCGTTATTTTGAAGTATGTTGCTAACCAAACATTTTGGTTACTGTTGACCATGAAGGCATTTCTCAAAATATCTTATTTTATGTTCTACATAATAAAGTCATACAGATGGAGCAACATGAGGGTAAGAATTGACATTATTGGATGATCTATCCCTTTAAGTCACAACTGATTTCAGAAGAGCACACAAAACAATTGATAAATACTGAACCTTTTTATCAAAAATTTTCAGTATTGAATGAAGTATCAGTTTATTTATTGTCTTAATTGCTTAATTTTCTAATGACAGTGATGGCTAAGTTCAGGGGCGCCGCTAAGGGTGGGGGGGGGGGATGGGGGGGCACGCCCTTTTGGGGCCCCCAGAGCTCTG